ACACCTACTCTAACCCTAACCCTAAATCTAATTCTGGTCATTGCACTGTCCCTAAGAACTGTCCGTAGATCGTCCGCTGAAAGTAAAGTATGGCGTCATAAGTAGCCAATTACTACAATTATAGTTACTACATATATTTTTACAAATGCTTTTTAAAACCATAATTGAAGTAATATTTACTACATGTAGTAATATTTGCTATATGTAGTAATATTTACTACATGTAGTAAATATTACTACATATAAGTAACACGTAGTAATATTTACTACATGTAGTAAATATTACTACAAATACGTAATAAATATATTATTAGCTACCTATGAAGATTAGGTGTAACATGAAAATCACAAAAAAAACGCAGTAAATTTTAACTATGAAAAATCTTCCTTGTATATGTAGAACTAGAACATTGTACTTTCAAATATTATGCATATCGATATTATAGTTGAGATCTGAGCATACTTACTCCTGCATTATCTCAACATACAGGTTGAATTCTTAAACCTGATATTTTTAAAATAATGCGCATGCCTTGCATAATGCAATAATGTAGCTCAAAATAATTCAAGTTCTTGATCGGGTATTTGATTTTTTTTTTATATTAAAGTTATTGCTTATAAATTATATGCATGAAGTATAACGTATAATCATATAAAATATACTACGTAAACTAGTAATTGTCGCATTCCTTTTATTATATTATTTATTATATTAGATAATAAATAATATAATAAAAGGGATGCGACAATTCTAAAGTATAATTTTACAATACGATAGTTTTTAACAATTACTAAAATTATTAATTGTTAGTAACTATTATTAACAAATTATTAGTGTTTTATTATTAATAACTAAAAACTCAACAGGTCCCATCACTATACTAAATGATATCAAAAAATCGAAGTATTTGAAAGTATTTGGCTTTGTATATTTTGAAACCTAGTTGGATAATATTTGAAAAAATAGTAATTTTTATAAACTGCTAGATTTGTTATACTTAAAACTCTAACAGAAATTAACCTTAAAATATATTAATAAATTCAAAATATATAATAGAATTCGTAAATTTTTAAAAAACTTTTTTTTTTTTTTTTTTTGAAATCTTGTCTAGTAAACAAAATTAAAACTACGATATTTCATAATGCAGAGTATATTATATAGAATAATCCAAAAGTTGTATCTATAGAGTTTTACCATACAATATTTACAGTTTTAAAGTTATTATATTAACTAAATAAAGGCTTTTCGATAATAAACTAATTGATAAAAGATAATTATAAAAAAAATTTGAATTAGACATAGAATCTTATGTAGTAGTTTATTTAAAATAATATATTAATATACTATCTTTAGCCTGAATTTTTTATCAGATAAAAATTTCGTCAACTAAACTATCTATATTGTAATTATAATTTGGATTTTCTTCAACTACATCTTCAGAACCTAATCTAATATTGTTGTTTTCACTATTTTCTCTAAAAATTTCATGATCAAAATCAAATGCTTCTTCTAATTTCAAAATTTCATCAAATGATTCAAATCCTTCTTCACTATCTTCAACATAATCTTCAACAGAATCTTCATCAGAGTCATTATTATCTAACTTTCTAGTTTCATTCGCTACAATTAAGATATCTTCTAAAGTAAGTTCACTGTCAATATAAGAAATTTCTTCTTTAGCATGTGTGGTATAATATCGATGAATCTTTACTAGTCCTTCTACTTTTTCAAATGCTAAATTAGTTCTTTTTTTGCCATAGATCTATCCCAAAGTAGAAAAAACTCTTTCACAAGAAGCTGAATGTGATGTAATGGTAAGAAGCTTAATTGCTAAAATAGAAAGATGATCATGAACATCTTCAATTGATTTCCACTATATTTGCGGTGTTTGACAATCAGATTCAAATGGATCATTAAAAGGTGATTCATTAACTTTGTAAGAAGCAAGTTGTTCTAAAAGTTTTTGACAAGAGCTTTCACTATTACCTAAAGCTTTCCATAAAGTACTTGCATATTTGGCGATTTTTTTATATTGACCTCGTTTAAAACTATAACCTAATACATATATTATTTAAAATAATAGTTTCTATAATAAATAAATATATATATAATTTATAAAATATACCTTTAAATTTTGGATGTAAAAAATAAGCCAACTGATATATGTTATCATTAAACTCTGAAAGCCGTTTATTAATAGAAGTAATACAATGTCTTCAAAAAGTAGTGTGTTGATCTTGGGGTATCCGATAAATTGTAGCTGCCAATTTGATTAAATGAATAAAATAGTCTGCAAGTATTGACTCTCGACTTTCAAGTTGAATAATAGATTCTTTAATAGGTTGTAAAATAGTAGTTATAAAATCCAAGTCATCATAAAATCCTCCTCTATTTAAGATCAAATATACTTCATTATTTGAAATAACGTCTGGGTTATGTTCTAAAATCTTTAAACATACAGATAGTTAGTTTTAACTTTTAGTTTAATAATATCATTATTTAAATTTTTTATTATATCAAATATTTAATATCGAGAATTTACTATAAGTTATAATTGTTTAATATAAATATAACTTACTCGAACAAATGCAACTTTTAGACATAAAATTAAACAAATCGCATCATAATAGCTTGATCAACGAGTTGCAACATATCATTTAATCCCTCCACCTACTATATTATTAATTTGAATTTCATTTTCAAGTGCTGAATTAGCTATATGAGATGCTTTAAAAAATTGAGCAACTAATGTTGCTTGTGATAAAATACGTTTAGCAAAAGATTCTTTCATAATATCTTTGCAAATAAGATTAAGTCAATGGGCTATACATGATACATTCATTATATTAGGGAATTTTTTTGTAATTATTCGCCTTGCTGCTAAAATATTTCTACTGCTATCACTAACTATTGCACAAATTTTGTTTGTTCCAATTTTAGTAATCATTTTTTCAATTTCTTGTATAAGAAATTCTGCTGTATGTCTTGAATCTGAGTAATTACGTAAAGCATATAAATGCTCTTTTCGATCAGGTGTTAATAGCAAAAAATTCCAAATAGAACGGCCTCATGGATCTGTCCAACCATCTAGTGCTATAAAAAAATAAATGTAAATAATCTTTATAATAAAATTTTATACTCTAAAAAAAATATTTACATATACATACCAAAGGTAATATTTTTTTTGGTTTGCAATTCATTTTCCATTTTTGCTTCTACTTTGATTAGTTGCTTATTAAAAATTTTTCCTGCAAGTATTTTAGAACTTGGGATTTTAAAACCCGGTTTAAGATCCTGAATCCACGCACGAACAATTTTATTTTCAGCAGTATTAAATGAAATACCCGCACAAATGAATGCAAGACACATGCTATTTTCTAAGTGCTCTTGTCTTTTTGAAGTTAGTTCTTGATTTTCAACATATTTAAGAAGATCTTCTTTATTTTTAGAATCAGTTTTTCGTTTCTTAGTTGTATTTTGATTGTCATTGTCTTCAGTTAATTGTTTGAAATAAAAAAATTGAGCATCTGTTGGAGCATTAGGACAATTGCATGCAATATGTAATTTAAAAGTTGATATATCTCTGCATTGCCAACTTTGTGGACAGTACTTGCAACTAGCTGAATAATGTCTGCCTTTTTTTTTTCTATTTGATTAAAATGATTCCAAACAGGATTAAAAGGTCTACCAAATGTTTTTTGTTGTTTATTATCACTAGTTATTTCAGAACTAGAGGTTGAAATGGATTCTTCTTCGTCAATATCGTTAGATGACATTCTTGAAAAAAAGATTATCATTACGTGAAATCTAATACAAAATTTTTTTAATCATTACATTATATTAGATTTAAAAAAATTATCTAAGTTATCTAATCGGTAAAGACAAATTAGTTTATCGGCTCTATTTATTAATCAGTTTTTACTATACTAAATATATAGCCGGTTGTGTTGCTCTGTATCTTTACCAATTAGTAAACCTGATATATATCATATAGATATAATATTTTTTGGCAGGTTTTACAATATTCAAATGTTTTATATTAAAATAACGAATTCAAATCTAAATACTCAATGAAAACTATCTATATTAACTGAATTCTGATAATGAATAAATACTTTATTTTTACTGTAATAATTCACAAAGTTATTTGTACTCATAGCACTCCCATATCTAAATTCTTAATAATATTCGACATTTTATATTTATCCTCTTTATTATCAACTTCTCTATAATAATCAGATCTTGTAATAAATAAATGCCTTTTAATGATTATTGTTTTTTGTTCTAATTTTAATGTCTTTCTCGGCAAAAATGTCTAATATAATTAACTGTAAGTATTTTTCATATTAAACCTTCGATAAATTTCAAATATCCTTTTCCACTCCAATTCCTCATATGCATTCTATTATCATTCCAATCTTACCAAATATTTATAATTTCTGAATGTTCATCTTTGTTATCCACTATTTCTTTAAAATAATTAAGTCTAAGATTTAATGTTTTATGAATGTCTTATAATCATCCTTGTCCACTATGATAGCCCATTTTAGTAGATTTTTAATAATGCTCAAATGTCTCATATTTATTCTAATTTCTTCTCAATAACAGCATTTAAGATTACTTTATACGTATCTATTTCCTTTATAATAAAAAACACTATCGTATGGTTGGTTATTAAGTAGACTTTTGTCCACTTAAAAATTTAGTTCTGATTCGTCTCGTTTGTCTTATGCCATTAACATTTTATTATTATTATTTTTTTTTTTTTTGCTATAATATACTAACGACACCTTTGTTAACTAGCAACCTATGCCCTCAACCATGCCCACGGTTATGTAACAAAGGATGATATCTGATATTTATTCCATATTACTTGCAAAAAGAATTTAGCTCATTAACCCCACAATTTATATTTATATATAATTTTTGACTATCGCAACATTTTACTATATTTATTTTACTACAAATGTATGATTAACAAATATTGATATGCACTTATATTTAAATAAACAAATAAATTTTGCACAGATAGACTACTGATCTAACCGATATATTCTTATAACCCATCAGGATGTTACGTATGTAAGCACATACCAAATTTCATTTTTTCACTTTCTATATTTATAGCAAGCACGCCACATTTTCCCAATTAGATACTAAAATGTTGGCCAGTAAAAACTGCATGAATGAAGACAGAAATAGTAATACATGTTCAACCAATTCCTACGTACATCGTAAGGGTACTAAAACTGATAGCAACTAAAATACATACGTACTACGTATGTACGTACTCTAGGATGAGTAATTATTAGAGTTATAGGTTATGTCACGAAACTCTAATTTGAAATCACAAAATTAGACTTTATTTGAATTTTACTTTTCTGAGGGGAATTAGCAAAGTAAAACGCTTTATAGTGTTGAATTTTAACTAATTTATTCAAGGTAAAAAGTTTATATTTATATTATTATAGAATTTTCTAACACATCTGTCTATTTGTTGTATTTGTCGGATTTGTCTATTTGTTGTAGTGATAATTATTACATATAGTAATAATGATTACTACATGTAGTAATTATTACTACATGTAGTAATAATTGCTACATGTAATAATAGTTATTACATGTAGTAATCATTACTACATGTAGTAATCATTACTACATGTAGTAATAATTACTACATATAGTAATAATAATTACTATATGTAATAATAATTACTACATGTAGTAATGATTATTACATGTAATAACTATTATTACATGTAGCAATTATTATTACACTTACTACTTTTGTAATAAATAATTACTACATTACTACAAATTAGATTTTGATTTACGGCACCAATCATTAGTCTTAATGAGACGATTCGAATGGTATCAAAATCGTTAAATTCCGTTTACGGTATCATGAGATATAGTAAAATTTGCTAAAATAGGGCCCTTATTTGTAAATTTCCCTATAAAATATGTGTGATTACTAGGGATGTTAATCGGTCCCGCAGTAATTATCAGCCGACTTTGAGCAAGGTTTATGCAAAATTGGCATTTTTAACTAATTTTCGTCCGATAAGTAAAATTTAGAAAAAGTTATTTCTCTATAACAGTATCTAATAGAAGTTTATCGGTTTTTGCATTGGTTTCCGAGTAATTTAAATGGGACCGGTTAGGGACCGATCAACAAAATTTTCTCCACACTGCTCGGTCCCTAATCGGTCCCATCTAAATTACTCGAAAATTAATGCAAGAACAAATAAACTTCTATTAGAGACTAGTTATAGGGAAATAACTTTTCTATAACTTTATTTATTGAACGAATATTTAGTTTAAAATGCCAATTCTTTGCAAATCTTGCTCAAAATCGGCTAATAATTACTGCGGGACCGATTTATCAGACTCAGAAAAACTGTCTTTACAACTTTAATTAGATGTATTAAAGAGATTATATATTTTTTTTTAAAAATAGATTCTTTTAATATTTATAATCATCCAACTTGAACTACTTCTGGTTCAAGTGAACAATTCGGGTTCACTTGAACCCATTTCGAGTTCACTTGAACTCTGGTATATGTGGATATGCACCAAATTATTTATTTAATTAGGGATCTTTTAGAGTTATCATTATATGCAAATTTGCATTCTCAACATTTGTTTGTTAGTGCGTTAAAATAGGTTTAAACTGCCGTTTTTCATATTTTGCATTTTTACTTTTTTTGCATAATTATATCATTTTCGAAAATTTTTGGACTGCACCCTTATATTGTCGTATGATTACAAACGAATATATTATCGGACATAAATAAAATCAACCTTTTATGTTATTAATTACTCTAAATTAGTTAATTTATCTGAGAGATTCTATATGTATCAAACATGACAGTTATACAATTCATTGTATTAAAATCATTTTTTGACAATTTTCAGCTTAACCTTTGCTGACTAGTGTAATAATTATATTATCAATGCCACCTTTTTTTAGAAGAAAAAATTATTAAGTATGTATCTTTAAAAAAAAAAAATACATTTGTCGTTTTACATAGGCTTTACACTTTTATTATGTTACATCTAGCTGTAATGTATCTGTAATGTAAATTATGTTTATGCCTCGAAAATTTTCTTATCATTTTGCGCGAAATTTGCTTATCACACAACATATGCCCCTATGCAATAAAATTTAAAAAATTTTACGTATTAAATATATAACTGATGATTATAATTATAAGTTATCGTATAGTAGGTAAAAATATCGGTTCGGTCAAGGGTTAATAACTCAAAAATTTACTATGATAACTTGATTTGGTAGACTAAATTAAAATGTTTAACATCTAATTTTGCATATAATTAGGTACTTTTAAATAAATTTTCAAAATAAATAAAGTTTAAACATGCTTGGACATTCTTGGACTTGGACGTTGGACGTGTCAAAAAAGGCCTTGGATGTACAACCCTGGGTACGGTAGTACGGGTACGTAAGTGAATGAATCAAATACATCATACAGATATTTGATTCATTCACTGATCTATATCCATACTATCGTGTCGACTTTTTTGCCCTCATACGATAACGTTATTATCGTCGGTTACGGTACGATTCCCCGAAAACTACTTACCCTAAAGTCTATTTACCCGACATCACATGAGGTGAAAATTTACTAATAAAATATACCTATAGCTAACTAAATGCTAAATTGTCACTCTATGTGATATCAGGTAAATGGACTGTCGGGTAAGTGGTTTTCGGGGAATTGAGCGACAACCATTATCGTCTGGCAGTTGTTACTAAAATATGTATTTGAACATATGGGTGCCGCCACTGATATTCTAAAAATAGATTTCTATGGACAACGGAATGCGGGATTTTAATTGATCTAGTAGTTATTAAATTGATCTAGTAGTTATTAAATTACTCTAAATCAATTAAAATCCCGCATTCCGTTGTACATAGAAATCTATTTTTAGAATATCAGGTTATTTGTTTTCTTTAAATGATTTTTATATGTAGAATTTTAGTGTTATCAGTTATTGCAGAACTATTAGAATAAAAAAGCAAAAATTCTGTACAATTATGATAACCGTACGATAAAAATATTTACGAATTAAAGCTAAGAGCTATATAAAAAAGGTTTTATGATAGATGTGATCACCGTAATCACGGGAAATTCACAAGCTTTCAAGATCCGGCGATCTCACGATTTTATCTTCTAACAAAACCAAAAATAGATGGAATACCAGTTCCACATATATATTTCAAATATTACCTAATTTATATTTCGTGTATGTACGGAGTTTTTCCCTAGGCTTGTATTGTAGAGATGGGCAAGGTTGTAAGGAATAATTACTTATTTTTTTACCCAGTACTTAAACTTACGTATTATTACGTACCAATTATTGCTTATCTGTTATGATGATTATTACTTATTACAATTTTCAAATGTAATCCGGAGAGTAAAATTTTAAACTCAATCATTTGTTGTTCGGATTGAATTTTGCATCTTTACTTATTATTATTTATTACGTAAAAAATTGTCGGAAATAAAAATAATAAGTAATAATATGTTACTTTGCCCATCTCTATTGTATTGAGATCAAGTACTAGATTAAAATTTAATACGTTATATGTAGTGATAGTATTAACGCTAATGTAGTTATATTAACTAACCTATATTAATCATGTGGCAAAACTAGTCGTTTCATTGATAACATTAAAAGCCCCTAAATATTTTATTAAAAAATAAAATGTTAACTTTAATACGTATCGGTATTGAAAATTATTGCGCCATAATAATAACCCGTTTTAATCTTATAGTAAATATTCGAAGGCTGCAGCCAGCCAATCGAATCTGACTGATATTTTTGACCATTACAATATCGGATAAGTATACCGATACGTATTAAGTATAATGGTTGAAAAATTTAAACAATTATAGAATATCATGTGAGTATAAAACATTATTCTTTAAGTGTAACCCTTTTTATTCAGAAAATGTCGTTAGGCGTTTTGGTATCGTCGCACGCCAATTGTGCCCCAAATATCTGTTAAATAGTTAAATACAAGCAGGACAAAGTCAAACATCGCATAATCAATTTATTCTCAACATTGTTAAGTCAAGCTTGAATAAATCCTTCATCAAGAAACTATTCGTCAACGGTGTTTCATTTTTCGTAATGCATACAGCTCTTATAATCAAATAACATCACCTGGCCCTAGAATTTCGACGTACATACGTACGTACGTCTTTAGTTTTTCATACAAACCTGTTTTATCAGGTCTTTTTAACGTTAATAGTAAATGATTACTGATAAAGCTTAGCTTTGAGGATTGTTCAAATCTAATTTAATACATACTCGGCAAGAATGTGGTTCGAAGCTTCGAACTATAATTTCAATATAATATTTGACCGACTTACCAACTTAGGAATGTCATTTTCTCGTTGTCAATTTACTATTCGTTTATAGGTGCCCCACCAAATTGTGTCAATCAAACATTCGCATGTATGTACTGTACGTAGGTACTGTACCTACTACGTACGAATGTTTACATTTACACATTTACAAATCAAATATACAATTTAAAGTCAACAAAGCCCCAAGTCCCAATAGTAGTATAATATTTAGACGAAAGTTTTGATCATTTGACATTGCTTTAAATTTATATTTACATAATAATAAAAACCACAGGCTTTTTATATTAGTCAGCCAACGAAGTCCCACATCACCCGATATCTTCGTCATTGCTGCATTACTGCGTTTCACTATCATTATATAATTTAAGATTGCTGTGTTTCTGTGCCTATTTAGCAGTATATAATTTATATAATAATTTATACGTATACGTAATAATTTATATAATAATTTACATAATAATTTACTTTTAAAAATTCGTGTATAAAAACGATTAACCTACGTACGTTACGTTAAGTTCATCATCTTTGATTTCTTTTGTAATCTGTCCAAATTTCTTTTTTATTTTATCTTTTTAAATTTTTACATTTAGAATTTTTAAGTGATCAAATACTTTTTAATATTTTTTGAAAACTTTGTAATCCAATTTTCCAAAATGGACATGGCAAATAACGTCCCCGGGTCCATGGTTGCATCAATTTCTTCGTCCGGCTCCGTCCAGCGCACTTCAAAACCAAAAGTTTGTAGGGGTTGTAACAAAAATGCCGCTCTTTGGCAAGTAAAATCTGAAGCTTCAATTAACAAAGGCAAATGGTTTTGGAAATGCCCCGTTAAAAATTTCGATTATCAGTGTCGCTTCTTTCATTGGGCAAGCGATAGTGAAGTAGCTGACTACTTTAGGTCCCTAGAAAATGAATTTGAATCTGAGGATATAAAGTTTCAACAAACGAGCAATGAGAATGAGATAAATGATAATGATGTTCAAATTATTACGGCTTCAGCTTATGATTCGAACTTGTCCACATCACGTTCAAAGAAGCATCTTCGAGCTAATAATAACGAAAGTAATGTTAATCAAATCTCTCATGATATTACACAACAGAATGAATATTCCACCAAAAGTTCACGTTTAGATAATAATTCAAATTTAGACTCAAATTCAAATTCTAATGGTGAATCATCATTAGTTCAACAACAAAACGATGAAATTATTTTAACTGATAATGATGTAGACTCTACATGGATTGAATCTGTAGAAGCGGAATTGCGTGAAGAGCATACTGCTAAAAAGCCTAGAGTTTCGACAGTGGAAAATAACGATTTTAATAATAATGTCGCGGAAGATAATAACATCTCACGAGTAGAAACTCCACAAGTAGAAACTCCAGAAACTATAACGGCTGAAGATAATGTCGAAGAAGAAGTTGTTACTTCTAATGAAATTAATGTGAGTGCATTACAATCCTTACCAACTGCGTATTTAAATTGGGAAAATGTTCCTCGATTTAGTAGTTCACAACTTGTGGACATATTTCAGAGTCACGTTTTGGCTCGAGACCAAGTTATCTCCGAATTAAAAAATAGCGTGGATTTCATTACAAAACAGCGTGACCAAGCGCTTAAAGATCTGGATGAAGCTCGAAAGCAAGTCTCGATAGTACGAAGAGAAATGAAACGTATGCGCCATGTAATTGACGTATCGCGAGCTGAAAATGGCCTTTTGCGCGCAGAAAAAAATTTATTGAACCATGATATTAATACTTTGAAACAAAAAAGGAAAGTTTGATTCCAATATTTTGTGGTTACAGTTAATTTCAATCTTTTTTGAGAATATGCATGTGTGAATGTTAAATATTTTAAAATGATTGGTTGTTATTTGGTCTGAAACTATTTTCAGATGTGGTAAGATTTAATTGCTTTATTATTTATTTTTTTCTTTAACTTGTTTGTAATTTGTATATACATATATTAGTGTATAATAGGATAACCTTTTATACAAAAAAAATTAACTTAAAAATTAGTTACATAAAAAAAATATTTTGCTAGATATATTCGTAAAGTCAGCGGTAATAATTCATTTTGCATTGTCATTAATAATAAATGTGAGAAAATCAGCTTCCTTTTGGAAAATACCGGTAGTTACTATCTAGTAATTTACTATAGTTTTAAATGAGCTATCTCATAAAAAGTTATACGTTATGTGGATTTTTAGTCACTGTCGTTATTACTGTCTATATGATGTAATAATTTTAACAGTTATCCACGAGCAATTAGTACTGTCGTTATCTGTATAAAAGCTGAATCTGTTACTACTTAAAAAATTACTTTTATAGGATACTTCAGGACCGACGATATTTTGCATGTCGCTGAATGCTGCAAAATTTGTAAACGTAGAAAGTGTCACAAATATCGCGGAAATTCAAGATAATAATAAAATAATAATAATAACAATAATGATGATAATAATATAGTAAATTAAACGTGTAAATCCTTATCAGTTAAAATCCTTAATTCATTTTTCCTATGTTAAACCGGATTTAAAAATTGGTTCAGACAATTTGAAGGGTTCAATATAAGCAAAGAATTTAAAAAATATATTGCAGAATATGATTTTGTCACGGGCAGAACTTACAATTTATCGTCGTAGAAAATCATCGACCCTGTCTTGGATCTTGGATATATATTATATAGAGGGTTTATATGATTTTCCTGACAATGACACTCCAACACTTAGCCAACACTGGCTATACAAATCTGGCTAACCCTAACCTTAAATCGGGCTAACATTACTCTGTCGAGAAAAAATTGTCGGATAAATCAGTGCCACCGTGAGGTATTTGTTAAAAGAATTTTTCGGTACGTATAAGTTACGTATGCATGTATTAATTATAGGTGGTTCTATGTAATATTTTTGTCGTTCTCAGCACAAGGTTTTTAATATTATTCTGACATAAAGATAGTTTTGCATGTTTATTGGAATATATTGTCTAACGATGATAAAAACGGTGCCATTGGTACAGTATCTAGAATTTTAGCAGAGGATACGAACAATGAGCGATTCGGACTGAAGCAGGAGTGACTCCTTATTAGCCCTCTTGCATAAAATTGGGAGTTCACTGCAAGCAAAAGAGCTGAATAATCATTTTGAAGAGATACTGCATATTGATAGAACATATGAGTGACGGTCAGGGAAAACCTGTAACTGTTAAACTATAGTGATAACAGTTAGGTTTTCCCTGGCTGTCATTCATATAGAACCATGAAAGTTTCCAAAATAAATACGTATCAAAGAACAAAAAAGAAACGAAAAAAATAACTATAGGTCAGTGTTGCTGACTGGAGTTCGGAACCCAGAATTTTCCAGCATTCCAGTGGTTCCCCCACTGAAACAAATATAACAGCCAATAAAAATGCACATATAGTAGTTAATATTAACTAATCAAAATAATTTATCTGTTATCATAATATCTGGTACGTAAAAATATACGATATCGGATATCACACATAAATATTATTTGAGTTTGTAATCTATCGCTATTAATCAATAATTTTAATGACAGTTACATAAATATTTTTGATATCGTAGTCGTTATTTGAGTGTTTTAGAATCAATACACATCTCCGTGATTTCTGAACAAATTCAAATTCTGGACTGTCAAATAATCAAATTTTCCCGACAATCACCTAACACTTGGCCAACACTAACTATAAATCTGGCTGACCCTAACACTAAATCGGGCCAACATTACTTTGTCGAGAAAAAAATTATGCCACCGGAAAATCATGGATCCAAGAATTGAGTATACTTTTTTTTTTAGATGAATTAATACATCGCATGAAAAATTGTATGAAATCTAAGTTACGAAGTTTTAAGTAAAAAATTACTCTCTTAAATTTTGTGCGCGAAACCAGACTTCGAGCTTGAAGTTTATAATTTATCGGACTAAATACACCAGATTTTATACAGACAGGAAATAAACTTGTAAGCCAGAAGTCTGGTTTCCCTTTGTGACACCCAGGTATCATAGGTTCATACGGCATTGCGGCATTACCGTTACGGCATTACGGCAAAATCTGCCGTAATTGGATTTTTTTTTCGAAAATTAATTCCTCGGCAACGATAGGTTCAGATGAACCTAATTTTCAGAGAAGGGAACTTCGGAAGTGGAGGGAGGAGATAACATTAAACGAAGTTTTTATTTCAAACGGCCTTAAGAGTATTCATATGTTCCACTTCTTGAGGCTCTGATGCCCACTAGGCAGCACTGAAATCTTCCATCCAGTGGCAAAAAAATTCTGACTGGAAGCAACTCACCACTGGAACTATATATATATTTTTTTTTACATAATTCTATCCAGTGGCCTTCCAGTTCCAGAAATTCTCACTAGACCGATCCAGTGGCAATACTGACTATTGGTTATGTTTAAAACTGCTATGGACAACCTTATATACCCATGTAAATAAGTAACGATAAAAATTTTTTACATTCACAAGTTCCTAAAGAGAAAATAGCCAATCAGAAAATCAAATTTTGACTATTCCGGATCAGCCCGACATATAATGCGAACACGTGAAAAAGAAGAAAAAAAGGGAAGAAAGAGAAAATACTCGAAAACTAATGTTTAAATCAACTTTGGAGCACTAATTAAAAAAGATTTTACTTGTAGAAACCTTCTAACCCTAACCCTGACTAACTTTAACTACGATCTTAATAGAATTTTATTTTTCGATCGGTAGTGTTACAAATCGGAATTTGAAAAAATATTAGTTGACAACTAATCGATCGAATTTTTAGATACCAATAATCGATTAGTTGTAATTAATCAATTAAAGAACTAATAATTACTAATCGGTTGAAAAATTATTTAGTTGCAACTAGTGATGGGCATGCGCGGGATTTTTAATATTCAGGCCAGCCGGTCCGCATTAACATAATTTTAAGAAACCCTCAAGTTAATCTCTATCCCGCGCATCCCGCGTGGATCACGCGCAGGATATTTAGGAAACCCGCGATTTGCTCATCACTAGTTGCAACTAATTGATTAATCGGTTAACTGATTAGTTATAATTTATCAATTAATCAAATTAATCGATTAGTTGCAACTTAATGATTATTCAATTAATCGATTAGTTGCAACTTAATGATTATTCGATTAATCAATTAGTTAGTTGCAACTAGTTGTCAACTGAAAAAATAATTAATGAACTAATCGATTGAAAATATTTTAACGATTTGTGGACTACCACCACCCCAGTGCTGCACTATAAAAACTATCCTAGTATCGCCAAAAAAAAAATTAAAAATTTCTTATTTCTCAAAAAATTTATCTAATTCGGAGTAGTAATGATAGTTATTCCATAGGTACCGTAAACTGCCGTATACAAGATTCCATTTCACCAAAAAGTTAATTAGTAAAAAAATGAAAATAATTAATAAAAATGAAAATAATTAATAAAAAAAAAGAAAAATAATTAATAGAAAAAAGAAAATAATTAATAAAAATGAAAATAATTAATAAAAAAATGAAAATAATTAATAAAAAAATGAAAATAATTAATAAAAAATGAAAGTGGATCTGATATATGGGGATATGGGGATTGTATACAGCAGTTTATGGTACGTACGCATATATAGTACGTTCATCTATATAAATGGTACAGAAGAAAAGGTGGAAAAACAAAAAATTTTCGAATATTATTTCCAATTTTAAATTGTTCGAACATTTCTTTAGTAATAAATGGCTATCTATAAAATTGTTTTACCTAGATCTTTGCCTCTTCCCTTTATAGAATGCTCATATTTGTTTACAAGTACATATAATAGTAAACAACTATTTTTATCGCTCCAGAAAAAATATGATCTTTGTGAAATCTACCTTAATAGTACACGAAGAATCGTGATTTCGTGCCCTGAATATTTAGAAAAAAAAATGCTATCCCACTCTTTTAAAGACACCCTACTGATAAGGTTTCCATATATTGAAGGGCTTGATGAATATAGAATGGCCGGAAAGGGTTTAATTGCAAACCATGACATAAAAAGTTGGAGACTTAACCGTCATTTCTTTGAACAAGCTATTCAAAATACCGAAGCTATGGAATGGATTAATAAATTATTTCAAGAGTTAGAAAGATATTGGAAATCTATTGTTAATTTTAATGATAATTTACAAGATAAAAATAAATGATTTCTCGAAACAGATCTAGTAATATAGACTCGTAGATTTACAAATGACATGATTACAATTTTGGTCACTGGTGAAAGATCCTATTTAATGGCTTCATATAACAACATTTTGAGTCCTATAAAAGTACCTAGCTATGGTACTTTGATTGAAGATTCTGAAAGATTTATTCAAGGATTGAACGATCACCTGTTGGGTTTAACATTCTTTATGTACCTTGGTTCATTCTTGCGTCATAAGATGCCATTTATTAAGGATAAAGTTAAATTACTACTTGAACTCGTGATTATTTATTTGAACAATTAGACATGATAGAAATTGATGAGACGCCAGTAAGTACAGAATTAAGGAGTGATATGTTAACATCTCTAATTACTGCTAATACAGAAAGAGATGAAGAATAAGATTAAGGTTATTAAAAGTGAAATGTCGAGACCGATGACTAACGTTGAAATTAGAGGTAATTTACTTGATGCTTTCCTATGTGGAACTGAAGCTGTAAGTTTCATTCTAATATAATATTTACTATTTTGAATTATGTTAAAATGTTTTAAATTTGTATATATTTACTATTTCTTAATTATAGACTGCAAATACTTTCTGTTTTATAACCTATTACATCTGTCACTTCCCTCGAGTTAAACAAAAAATGCTTGCTGAAATCGACTCAATATTCCCTTAAAATACTTTCTTTAATATTAAACATTCTGACCTCGTTAAATTAGAATATTGTAATAAAATAATTAATAAAACATTGCGAATTATTTCCTCTTCAAATGATTTATCAAGATATCTTGATAGTCCTTGCGAAATAGCCGGCTATAAATGGGATGCTGGAACAATACTCCATGTAAATACTAATAGTGTCCATTCACACAAAGATCATTGGCCTAATCCTGAATTTTCGATCCTGACCGATTTTATAGAAAAGATAGGCATAAATTTTCGTTAATACTATTTGGCGGTGGATTACGTATTTGTCCAGCAAGAAAATTAGCTATGATAGAATTACTTTCATTAATAGTATTTTTATTTGGAAGGTATGATATTGAATTAATTGATAGTGAAGCACCGTTAAAGACTAAAAGCATAAAAGTAACTATTTGTCAAGAATTGCCGGCTAGAGAATAACTTTTTTCTGTCATTATAGAATAAATAATAAATTTTCTTTGGAAGCTGATACGTAAAAGAGTTCATTATAACTCCCCTTTTATCCTACAGTTAGGTCACGTTTCCTCACTCACGCACGTGCCTACAGCTAGGTCACGTTTTCCCTCTTGCAATGGTTATGTTATCGTTATTGTTTTAGCTCTGTTCCAAATATTATTTTGCATAAGCCGTATTTGTGAATTTAATTCATGTGTTCCAGAAGCCAATTCAGGTGCAATCTATTGCAAATCGTTACTTCAAGATAGGGTTGTGGGCATGGGGCACGAGGCATGCCTTTTGGGCATGCCCTTAGACCAAAAGGCATGCCACTTTCACGTGATAATTAATATTTGTTGCGGATTAAAATGAAATTAATAGTCCTATTGGCTAAATTTTGTAGATCACCCTAACCCTAACCAATCTATTTCATTTTAATCTGAATTTCATTTTAATCCGTCACATTTATTACCGTTACTTTATTTTATGTTAACATTTTATATGTATTACGTAGAAGCTGCACCTTATGCATCTAATTGTAAATGAATGTATTTATAAGACGATACGTATTGTGAATTTTGTTTATAATAAATAAATATATTTGTTGTATATTTCTTTAATAAAATAAATGTATTTTGTGGTTATTTTATAAGTTAAGCAAAAATTATACTGTACTGAATTTTATTGAAATAACTACCAACACATATTATCGACACAGCATGGCCAGCACCATAGTTAAGGTTAGTGTTAGAATATGGCAAAATTAATTCATATATACCAAGTGTATCACATGATTTATATATAGAAGGCATACCCTGGGCACGATATGAGGGGCATGCCTTTGGGCATGCCCAAAAATTTTCCGTGCCCACAACCCTACTTCAAGATCAGTCTGTTTAACAATATTAAAGTTGAGATATAAGATCGCATACGCATTTAAATCTTATAAAATATTACCTTAGCGTAAATATAAATTAAGAGGATGGAGGCTATGTTATTAAATAATAATAATTTTAATTATTCTGGCCTTAGCGTTAGTCAAATAATCATATCAATACGAACCTGATTTCGATTTTTCTAATTTGGAAACTAAAAATTTAAGTTGTAAATTCTTTGATTTATATACAGTAATAAAATATTAAAGTCGTGACAAATTTTTTAACTTTGAGCGAAGTATCTCGATGACCACATAACCAAGTTCAATGTAATTTTTTTATTTTATTTGAATTCTATTATTATGTAGAATCAAAATAAAAAAAAAATCTTTATTAAACCTGATTAGATGGTTGTCGAGATTAGAGATGGCACCAATGCGTGGAGTTAAAGAGTTGATGTAATATAAAATTCTAATCATGCATAATGCACTGGGTAATATGGGGTATATCGATGATATTATGTCTCTACAAACAAAGCTCTAAAATTACGACACATTTGCGAAATTAAGCTAAAATTCGATCATCAAATCTAAGTATTTGGCTCCCAAATTTACATATTCAATCAATGCTAAATCCAGAAAAAATTTTCGAATCTCTGATCTATATCGATGGCGCGTTTAACCCATCTTCCTCACTTCATTAACATAGGAATTATATATAATGACGCGCCCTAACCTGAGAAACCCATCTTCCCCACTTCATTGGAATATATTATGATTCGCCCTAACCTGGGAGCATTGATTAGCACAGTCAAAAATCAATATTACATGTTAGTAGTCAAACTTTCAAATTTAGGGGTATTTCGTAAATGCGCCGTAATGAAGATATTTCTTTTATTTATCATGAAAAAAAAAAAATCAAAAATTCTACTTAAAAAGATTAAAAAAAAAAAAAAAAAAGTCTTTTAAATGGTGGTTTAAAATTTATCATGTTTAAATAAAAGAAATAATTCTATAGCTTTGTTTTGCAGAGACATAATATCATTCGTTACAAATTTTATATTAAACTAATAAATCGCTAGAGTTATACATCTATTTAAACCGATACCACATAAGGGAGATGGGGTATTGTGGCCACCCGAATTATCTTATGATATATCGATATAAATCAAACAATTTTTATATTATTCGATTCGTCTCAGTGAGACGATTCGAATGGTGTAAAAATCGCTTAATTTGAATCACTGTGTTCGAGATATCGACGTTTGAATATTTTAGCTTAATTTTTTTAAAATTCAAATTTATAAAATATTCAAACATCGATATCTCGTGACACAGTGATCCAAAATAAACGATTTTTATACCATTCGAATCTTCTCACTGAGACGAATCGAATGGTAGAAAAATCGTTTAATTTGGAACAATAGATCACGAGATCGTAACTGAGTGGCCACAATACCCCCTATATCTACTTTAATTTATACAATATTCGGATCTAATTATCTTGTGATCTTGTGGTACCATTAGATTCGTCTCGATGAGACGATTCTAATGGTATAAAAATCACTTAATTTGGATCGATAGATCACGATATATAATAATTTTTAGCTTAATGTGGCCACAGTACCCCTTTTACCTTGTAGTTTCGCACATAACATTTTCAAATACGCATTTTGCCCAACTCTAATCGAGATTTTTTTTTTTTTTTTATTAATGTTATTATTAATTAATATATTGATATCAGATATTTTATTCAAAAAGATTAAATTGCCAATTCTGTGTATATTATCAACTGGCCCTCCTCTTCCGAAAATAGCGCCCATATTTTGCACATACGCAATAATGATCAAGATGGTTATAATTCAGGCCAAAATTTAAATAGTGCAGGCAGAGATGCTTGTGCTGTTTATTTTAGAGGAATCATGAGATCTTCCTTATCAGCCCTGTTGCATAAACTTGAAGTAGAGTGACGGAGTTCAAAGAACTGAATACGTAATCATTTTAAAGAGATACTGCATATTGCATATTTGAATGGCATTCTTTCTTCATATAGAGCATATGAATGACGGTAACTGTTATCACTATCTAGCTATTGTGATTATCGACAGTAGCAGTGAAGGAAATCTGAAATTTTTTTTTTTTGAGTTTTTTGAGAACATAAAATTTTAAATTTATGTTCTTATTAGTAAAATTTTACTATATTCAAAAAATTTTTATATTCTCGAAATACTATTAACTATATTAAAAATTAAAAATTTTATGTACTCAGAATAAGAACATAATTTTTATGGCACTTTGCAGATTTATTGATTCTCCGACAATTTTAAATATTTTAAACAATATATACAATTATTTATTGAAATATACCATCATCACAAAAATTACAGTGTCGCACTTTATTGCAAAGCGCCATAAATATTATGTTCTCAAAAGATATGCTGATTTCCAACACCGTCACATGATATCTGTCTGTGCCATTCGTGTCTCTGATTGGCTAGATATAATAATGATATTCTTTACAGTACATTAAAGTCGTTACAGTACATTACAAAGTCTTTACAGAACATCAGTGTTAAAAATTTGGCACAAATATGTTGTGCATTAAAAAGCCATTACACTATAATTTCTTTTTTTTTTTTATAACTTAACTTTAAAATAATATTTACAATAATTCCAATAACTCCGAACACACAGTGTAATGCTATGCATTCCTAGTATAGTATAAAAGTTACAGGTTTTCATTCATACATAGAACCATACGTATCAAAGAACAAAAAAATATTATAGTACTTGGAGCTGATATTCCGATTTATCTGTTATGTTTATCTTAATTACGAGCAACCTTATATATCTATGTAAATAAGATTTTTTCACATGCACAAGTTACTGCGTCATATTCCATTATTTCATTAAATCGTTATAAAAAAAAAAAAAATTTTGATTCTAAAAAACGCACATATACATAAAATAAAAAGATGACTATTATTGAACCCATTATTAATCTTATAGAATTATTAATTCTAATCTCTGTTGTCTATATCTTCAACTTTTATTACAAATATTTTACTCGTCCAAATCCACTTCCTGGTCCATTCCCTTTACCATTCATTGGAAATCTCCTTAATCAGGCTGATATAAATCAATTCTATAAAGAATGTCAACAGAAGTATGGAGATATCTGTGAAGTGACGCTCGACCACAGATATATCATTCTCTCACGGCCAGATTATATTAAAAAACTTTTTGCTCCTTCCGAATTTTTCATACATCAACCACATTCTCAGGGTACGGAGGAACTTAAAGTACATGGTCAAGGACTCTTCTTTAATGGAGATTTTAAAAGTTGGAATTTTAATAGACAATTTTTTAATGAAGTATTATCACTTAAATTTATTGACGAAACTATACCATCTATAAATCAATTATTTGAGGAAATGAGTGGATATTGGGAATCCCTTGGAAAACAAAATTCTTCAAATAACGAGAATAATAATTGGACAATAGAAACAGATTTGTCTGCATGGTTTCACGGATTTACCAATGAAGTTACTTCGATGTTAACTACCGGAAAACGTACTTATTCAATTGCTTCTTGTTATAACTCGCAAAGTATTACCAAATCCAACCATTCTGATGCGCTAGTCGACAATGGTAGCAAATTTACCAAAGCACTTGTGAACCTCTTTGAAAGCTTTTTATTCTTCACGTTTTTTCCCCCTTTTATTAGACATTACGTTCCAATATTTAAAGATAAAACAAAATCATATTTAAATACCCGTGATTACTTGTTTAATAATTTGGATGATATTATTAAGAGCAGAAGAAATGAAATCGAAAGAAAGCAGACTACAGAAATTAAAAGAAATATGTTAACTTCTTTAATGAC